CCCACTCGGTGAGGACATATCTCGTTCTACTGTATGCAAGTGATTAGTGCATTCCTTTAGCATTCCAGACAAGTAATAAAAGTGCTGTAGCCCAAAACTTGCGTTAAATATATGAAAATCGAATGTTTAGATTATTTATTTATGAGTAGGGACTGTTTGTCCAAAGCTGCTCAGGGTCGACTTGGCCAAGCATCCCTTTTAGGGGCCGTCCATAAATTAGGTCATGCACCTAGGGGGGGGGGGGGGGGTCGGACATTTGTGACGATGTGTGACGAGGGGGGGGGGGTGAGAAATGTGACGTCACATCAAAATGCGCAACTTTAAATAAATAGAGACAACACGATCTACTTAATTAAATAGACTTTTAATAAATGTCTCCTACAACATCAGAGTGCAGCGCCACATTAAATACGCACTACAATGACAATAGTTTAAAGCGATTTGAAGCATGTTTTATTTTGGAGAGGGCAGAGCTTTGTGACGTCATATTTGAAGGGGGTCTGACTTTTTGTGACGCCGTGTGACGAGGGGGGGGGGTCAAAAATCGTCCAAAATTGCGTGACGTCATTTATGAACGGTGTCTTGCCTCACGGCAGATGGGGAGCGTATGTAAACAGGAAGTTCCTGTTTTTTGATGCTAATGTTGGTCACGTGACCAGGAAGTGACGATGTCAGATTTCCACTGTACCACGCGGGCGTCAGCCATTACACAGATAAGTCAAGATGGCGGCACGCATCGCATCTCAGTGAGACCACAGCCGCACTTATCCATTGTGGGAGCTTAAGAAGCATTATCTGTAAGTTGTTTATATTCTTATAATATTGGAAATGCTGTTGTAATGTTGGAATGACCGTTATAGCAATGTAAATGCCTTTATGGTGCCGTTTAAGTTGTTGTAGTAAATACGAGGCCTAGTTAGTAACGAAGCCTGTGACTTTCCTTATTGTGGATGTTACTTGTGATTTAGTAGGTCGAGTCAGACTTGTGCCTATGTTGCGATCCTGAGAGTGATGACGAAGTATCTCATCCACAGTTTAGTGTTAAGTGTAATGCTGTACATTTGGGGTGCAGTGGGATGAATACACTGTGCCTGTATGCAACGCATCAGCTTGTGCCTTTGTCTAGTTGTTCAGGAGTAATGTGGGGGCCTGGTCCTTCCAGGATCTATTGTTATCTGAGACAATGTTCTGATGCTGTGGTGTTCATTGTGTGGGTGTTTCCGAATTATAACAGATGCTGTATCTGTGTTTTCTCACCAGTTTTACCTGTTAAATCAATAAACGACGATCGGAGTTGGACGGTCATCCTGGCTTCGAGGGTTTATTGAACACATGGTTGTCTACTCGACTAGCGGTGCAACGCAGCGCACAGCGAGGCCGAGTTAGTAAAAAGATATTCTTCCTGAAGCTACCAACTAGTGCTGCAGCCAGCTCTCTGCAGCCAAGTAAAAAGATACTCATCTTGAAGCTCCCAACCTGCAGCAAGCAGAGGCGCTCTCAAGCAGTCAGCCTGCAGCAAGCAGAGGCGCTCTCAAGCAGTCAGCCTGCAGCAAGCAGAGGCGCTCTCAAGCAGTCAGCCTGCAGCAAGCAGAGGAGCTCTCAAGCAGTCAGCCTGCAGCAAGCAACCAGCTCTCAAGCAGTCAGCCTGCAGCAAGCAACCAGCTCTCAAGCAGTCAGCCTGCAGCAAGCAAGGAGCTCTGCAACGAGTCTACATTAAAATCGTGCTGCAAGCATCGCAGCATGGAAAGCCACAGTTCAGCAGGGAGAGATGCTGAAGAAGGTGAACCAAGCAATCCAGGATCTCCCATCCTGCCTCAAGAGGACCAAGGGAGTTCAAGGCCCCAGAGGGAGGTCAGGTTGACGCAACGGGCCTTGGAAAGCTATGAGGCTGAGAAACAGGACCTGGATGCCAGGATACAACGGGCATGGAACCGGGTTGAAGCAGATTTATCCGAAGCTTCAAATGCCTCAGACACAGTGGCCTCAATTCAGCGGGCCATCCAGCGAGTGAAGGTGAGCAGCTCAAGCTACAAGCTCCTGGCAAATAAATACATCTCGCTCCTGATGAAGGTGAAAACAGACGAGGGCATTGAGGGAGTGCGCAGACAAGAACACTTCCTCGAACTGCTCGATGATAATGTGCAGGCAGCGATACAAGATGCAATGGACCGTCTGGAGGGCTTAAGAGAGACACGATCTCAGCACTCCGTCTCATCCAGGTCCACCACAAAATCTAAAGCCTCAGCACCCTCAAAGACATCATCTACTAGTATGGCAGCAGCTCAGGCACGCGCAGCAGCAGAAGCAGCAAACGCCCGTATTGCCTACATGGCTGAAGAGGAAGCCATGCTAATTGAAAAGGCCCACATACAAGAAGAAGCATGCATAGCAACTGCTGCCGCACGAGAGCAAGAGAGTATATTAGTGGCTACCGCCACGCGGAAGAACATTGAGCTGGATGCTAAGTTAAGCACCCTACAACTCAAAAGGGAAGCAGCTGCTGCAATGGCCCAGGCAGAGGTGCTCGAGGCAGCAGCCAACCTGGATAAGGAAGAGAATTGGAGTGAGTTTGGCACTCAGATACCTGTCAAGGACCGTGATCAACTCACCAGAAAAAATATTTTGGACTGGTCTGAACAATGCATCAATGCTCCTCCACCAAACGATACTGAACAAAGGGTGGACGTTCAGGCATCGCCATCTCCACACCGAATGAACATGAATGTTGTCTACAGGAAAGGTGAAAATACATATCCTGCCCTGGCAGTAAGTCGCCAACTCAGCGTCGCGCACGTGGGGTCAGACGTAGATGCACCAAGTCAGACCCACATTCCAGACAGTCACATAAGGGGATCCAACCAACGTGATCGAAACCCTTTGGTCCCACAGTCCAACGCCATCGCAAATGACGGCATGCAAGGCAATGCAGCAAATAATAGCACCTCACAAGCGCCAATATGGACACACTCTGGATCAGCAGGACTAGGGGACTTTGCTAGGTACCTAGCTCACCGCGAACTAATCAACACAGGACTCGTTAAGTTTGATGACCACTCTGAGAACTATCGAGCCTGGAGATCTACCTTCAGGAATGCAATCCGAAATGCAGACATCTCTGCAAGTGAAGAACTCGACCTGTTGGTGAAATGGTTAGGAAATGAGTCTGCAGAGTACGCAAAGAGGATCCGGTCAGCAAACATTGACGACCCCACCTCAAGCCTGCATGCGGTGTGGGAGAGGCTCGATGAGTGCTATGGTAGTCCAGAAACCATTGAGAAGGCCCTCTTCAAGAAGTTGCAGAACTTTCCAAAAATCTCTGGTCGAGACAATAAAATGTTACGGGAGCTTGGAGATCTTTTGATGGAGCTTGAATCAGCCCAGGCTGACCCCTACTTACCAGGTCTCATTTTCTTGAATACCTACCATGGCGTGAACCCCATCGTAGAGAAATTGCCATTTGACGTGCAGGAAAAATGGAGAACAGCGGGTTCAAGATACAAGTCAGAGCATCAGGTTGCATTCTCCCCATTCTCTTTTTTCTCAAAGTTTATCCGCAACCTGGCTAAGACTAGAAATGACCCGAGTTTCATGTTTGGCACCACGGGGATTTCCAGTCCAGATCTCCCAAAAATGGAAAGGACAACGGCGAAACGAGGAACAGCGAGAGTGCCAATTTCCGTACACAAAACTGAGGTCTCTCCTGCGACATTCGCAAACTCCGTCCAGGCAACCACCACAAAGAAAAAGATAGAGGATCCAGAGAAGCAATGCCCATTGCATGATAAACCTCACTCCCTCCAGAAATGCCGTGAGTTCAGGAGGAAGCCATTGGAAGAGTGGAAGAACATGCTGAAAGAATTTGGAGTGTGCTTCAAATGCTGTGCTTCTACTAACCACCTTGCAAGGAATTGCAAGGCAGATATCAAGTGCGAGGAATGTGGCAGCGACAAACACGCAACTGCTCTGCACACATTTTACTCGAAACCCAGTAGCACTAAGGCTTCCGATCCCGAAGCAGAGCACGGCGGGGAGCAAGGCGAGACCGCCGCACTCACTTCGTCAATCACAACCAAATGCACAGAAGTCTGTGGAGAAGGCTTCAAAGGAAGATCTTGCTCAAAGATATGCCTCGTCCGAGTCTATCCCAAAGGACATCCTGAAAGGGCAGTAAGGATGTACGCCATAATGGACGACCAGAGCAACAGGTCTTTGGCAAGGTCAGAGTTCTTTGATCAGCTAAGTGTAGGTGGGAATTCCTTTCCATACACGCTCAGAACATGCTCAGGACTGATGGAGACAGCGGGAAGAAGAGTGAGCGGCCTCATGGTGGAAACCATAGATAGCACCATGAAGCTAGCCCTTCCTACGGTGACAGATTGCAACGAGATACCGGACGACAGGAGTGAGATTCCCACGCCCGAAGTTGCACGTCACCACCCACACCTGAAACCCATAGCAGAGTTCATCCTGCCATTGGATCACACGGCACAGATTTTACTTCTGCTCGGCAGGGACATGCTGAGAGTCCACAAGGTTCGTAATCAACGCAACGGACCTCACGACGCTCCCTACGCCCAGAGACTCGACCTAGGATGGGTCATCGTAGGTGACGTTTGTCTCGATGGAAGACACAAACCAGACCACATTAGCACATTCAGAACGAGTGTGCTCACGAATGGACGCACGTCGCTCTTCACACCGTGCCCTAACCACTTCACTGCTGAAAGAGAAACTCGGCAAGAGAAGTCAAGGCTGTACCGTGCAGACGTACGAAGAAACCACCACAACTTCGCACGTACATCCACCATCTTCGATGGATTTTGTTCCTCCACGTTTCTCCAAGCCAGTCCTCACTGACAAGAGGAAGCCAAAGACGAAGCCGCTGCTCGTCGCTCTGCTGGTGGTCGTGGCGGTGGTTGCTGCGGCCGTGGCCTCTCCGTTCCTAGACCCGGAGCTGTCGTCCGAGTGGGAATCCTGGAAGAAGTTCCACGGCAAGGCCCCACAACCAGAACATACCATCCCAAGGCTCGAGCTGTGTGGAGCTGTTCTTGCTACAGAGGTGGCGGAACTGATCTTAGACGAATTGGACATCAAACTGGACGCGGTCAAGTTCTACACGGACAGTAAGGTCGTACTAGGCTACATAAACAACCAAACCAGAAGGTTCTACACCTACATCAGCAACCGGGTGGAGTGCATCAGGGGATCGACGCAGCCGGAGCAATGGAATTACGTTCCAACTGACCAGAATCCAGCAGATCTCGCAACTAGGTCCGTCCCTGCATCTCTGCTGAATCAAACCATCTGGCTGACGGGTCCAGCGTTCCTGTTACGACGTGACGGTGGCCCATGTTCTACCAAGGAGACCTTTGGACTCGTAGAGCCCGAGTCTGACAAGGAGATTCGTCCTCAAGTGACAACTTTCATAACTCATGTGCGACCAAGAAGTCCACTGAGTCCACACCATTTTGAACATTTCTCGAAATGGACGACGCTCGTGCGAGCGATAGCACATTTAACGGATATCGCAGACTGCTTCCATCGCCCGATGAGAGGCACCACTGGTAGCTGCAATGGATGGCATTACTGCACAGTGCCACGCACTGAAGACGAGCTTTCCAGAGCAAGGAAATCAATCTTCCGCTGTGTGCAACAGGCAGCTTATGCAAGTGAGATCAAAGCCATCAACAAGGGAGAAGACCTTCCTAGGGTCAGCACCCTCAGGAAGCTAAACCCCGGGATGGACAAAGACGACTTGCTCAGGATCCGTGGTCGGCTAGGGAATGCAAAATTAGATGAGAATGAACGAAACCCCCTCATAATCCCAAGCCAGAGCCACATCGCAATCTTACTCGTGCGCCACTACCACGAGAAGGTCAAGCACCAAGGTCGGCACTTCACAGAAGGAGCAATCCGATCTGCAGGGCTGTGGATCGTTGGAGCAAAGAGGTGCATCGCCAGCACAATCCACAAGTGTATCCGGTGTCGCAAGCTACGTGGAAAACAGGAAGAACAGAAAATGGCAGACCTCCCAGCCGATCGACTCAGTGTGGAACCTCCCTTCACCTCTGTAGGGATTGACGTGTTCGGACCGTGGACAGTCATCTCCCGCCGCACCAGAGGAGGGCTCGCGAACAGCAAACGTTGGGCAGTGCTGTTCACCTGTATGAGTACACGAGCAGTGCACATCGAAGTCATCGAGTCCATGGACTCTTCGAGCTTTATAAATGCACTCCGGAGGTTCTTCGCCATCAGAGGGCCAGCCAAGCAACTCCGTTCTGATTGTGGAACCAATTTCATAGGAGCATGTAAAGAGCTTAAGATCAATACGGAGAATGTCGAAGATTATTCTGTCAGGAAATACCTTAGTGATCAAGGCCGCACATGGATCTTCAATCCTCCCCACTCTTCGCACATGGGTGGAGCCTGGGAACGCATGATCGGGATTGCTCGACGCATTCTCGACTCCATGCTATGTGATGTCGGGTCCACACGGCTCTCTCACGAGGTCTTGACCACTCTCATGGCCGAGGTCTCAGCCATAATTAACTCAAGACCCCTGATCCCCGTCTCAACCGACCCGGAGTCACCATTCATCTTGACTCCTGCTACACTTCTTACCCAGAAGACAGATGTGCTCACAGCACCTACCGAGGAGGCCAGCACTGCAGACCTCTACAGACGTCAATGGAGACAAGTGCAGAGCTTCGCGAACACGTTCTGGCATCGCTGGAAAAACGAGTACCTTACGACACTCCAAGTGCGCAACAAGTGGCAGTCTAATAGACCAGACATCCAAGAAGGCGACCTCGTCCTACTGAAGGACAACCAAGCCAAACGGAATGAGTGGCCAATGGGCCGCATCCTCAAGTCGATTCCAAATGCCGATGGAAAAGTTCGAAAGGTCGAGGTTATGATTGCGAAGCAAGGTGTCGCAAGAACTTTCATCAGGCCCATAGTCGAGATAGTACTACTTCTCTCTCGCAAAGATATGGACAAATAAGTCGACCCGTTGAAGTTGTTATACACTTGTTTATGAGATAGGAAATAAATGGTGGTATCTCCTAGATACCAGACGGGGAGTGTCTTGCCTCACGGCAGATGGGGAGCGTATGTAAACAGGAAGTTCCTGTTTTTTGATGCTAATGTTGGTCACGTGACCAGGAAGTGACGATGTCAGATTTCCACTGTACCACGCGGGCGTCAGCCATTACACAGATAAGTCAAGATGGCGGCACGCATCGCATCTCAGTGAGACCACAGCCGCACTTATCCATTGTGGGAGCTTAAGAAGCATTATCTGTAAGTTGTTTATATTCTTATAATATTGGAAATGCTGTTGTAATGTTGGAATGACCGTTATAGCAATGTAAATGCCTTTATGGTGCCGTTAAGTTGTTGTAGTAAATACGAGGCCTAGTTAGTAACGAAGCCTGTGACTTTCCTTATTGTGGATGTTACTTGTGATTTAGTAGGTCGAGTCAGACTTGTGCCTATGTTGCGATCCTGAGAGTGATGACGAAGTATCTCATCCACAGTTTAGTGTTAAGTGTAATGCTGTACATTTGGGGTGCAGTGGGATGAATACACTGTGCCTGTATGCAACGCATCAGCTTGTGCCTTTGTCTAGTTGTTCAGGGGTAATGTGTGGGCCTGGTCCTTCCAGGATCTATTGTTATCTGAGACAATGTTCTGATGCTGTGGTGTTCATTGTGTGGGTGTTTCCGAATTATAACAGATGCTGTATCTGTGTTTTCTCACCAGTTTTACCTGTTAAATCAATAAATGACGATCGGAGTTGGACGGTCATCCTGGCTTCGAGGGTTTATTGAACACATGGTTGTCTACTCGACTAGCGGTGCAACGCAGCGCACAGCGAGGCCGAGATAGACGGCCCCTTAGGGAAGGTAGAATTACTCCTATTTTGGTAGTCAATAGTGATGTTCCCTTTCCATAAACATGGGGAATTTACACCACTGGCTGAGGGCCACTAATGGAGATGAGCTCTGCCACGTTCGTTTGGGCCTTCATCCAGCAATTGATAAATGAAACCTATTGCTGATGATGAATACCACAGTTATGGTTGAGTGACTGATGTAAGTACTAATTATTTCCTAAAAGGGTTAGAAAGCTGAAAGTTGGTGCTAATGTAGCCATATATAAGTGAATATCAAACTATACCAATTTTTGTTAATTATAAATTAGAATTTTCAGACCCCAGATTTTTGGTCTGGAGGTTGATTACATTTAGTTCTATATAGCTTGGTATTGCATATGATTCTTATCATCAGTGGACAAAATAATTTGCCTCCCATGAAGTGTGATGCTAAAGCTGATCTGAAAGGAAGCATGTAAATCCTACTAGAAATTACAAGTATTTCATGATGACGGTGGTGATAATGGTGATTATTTTTGCTGCTGATTTTTGCATTATGACAAACATTACAAGGCCTGCTGATTTCTAAACACCCGTGACTCGACTAAAATCTTTCACATTAGCCTAATGCATAACTTGGCAGTGAAATTGCCTTCTCATTCATGTGTAGTGACATCGGGGATGTCACTGTATGGTGCCGGCCCGGGAGGGTCGTGGCGTGCGATATTTCTACGTCGCGGACAGCACTGGGTGGGTTGCTGTGTGATGCCGGCTTTACTATAGCATGGCGTGCGATGCATCGTCATCGCAGTACACCCCGTAAATGGGTGTAGTACCAGCCCTAGCGGGGCTTGGTGAGCACTGGGATAGCGCAGACGCATAGCATGTAGTGCGTGCTCCCACAAGTGGGAGAGTGTTAGGAGCGGGAGAGTGTCAGCCCAGGGACCGGGTTGCCCCGGGCCATGGCACTCTAGTTGACCCTGTAGACACATGATCCGGAGTGTCCACAGAGAGGGCCCCAGGTGGGGGGGCTAGGGGGTGATCATGTGTCAGGGGAGAGGGATCGAGAGGGAGCTAGAACGCTCGAGAAGGCGGGCCGGGCCTGGGTCGAGCCAGTCCCGACCCGGGAGGATATAAGGTGGGTCTCTGAGAGGGAACAGGGTCTCTTCGTTCTACAAGCTGGAAGCTCCGCGTCCTACAAGCTGGAAGCTCTACGTCCTATAAGGCATCAACACGTGTTCATATAATAAATGTGTTTCCTCTAAAGAATAACGTCTGCGACTCAGTTGGACTCACTACACATGTAATAAAGAGATTATATAAAATATGGTTAATAAGTTGCAAATACTCAAAGTTTCTCGTGGCTCAAATTGCTTATGCAAGGCTGAACTCATCTCAGGAAGCAGACAGTGAAGGAAAGGCCACATTTATTTATAGGACGACCACTGTCAACTTATTACAAAATGGTACTCTATTAACTTTGAGGGAGGGATGATTCAAACTCATATTTGTAAGTCAAAAGCTCTGACCCCAGCACCACTCAGCTCAATAATTATAGCAAATAGTGCCGTTATAACTACTTGCTTCTATGTTCCACACGTTCTAAGAAAAGCACACATTTTGGTCGTCAACAAGCATTGGCGCTTTTTTAAGATTATAATCATGCCACGGTTTAATGGAACTATGTGAACAGTAAACTGTGGTGCACTTTAGACTCGAGCGCAGATGACTGCATTATATTTATTACACACCCTGCTGTCTGCTCGTGGCTCAAGTCATCACTCACCTGCCCACTCATGGGACGGGACAGACTGATGGGGTGAAGCTGAGTTTTTGTTTCATATGCACACTTACGCTGCCTTAATCGTTTTGACAGCGTTTTTCTTTTGGACCAGTCGGGTTTCAAGCACCATGGATTTGCATTTCCTGTTGAACTAACTGCAGCGCTCCACAAAGAAATTGTACCTTCTCAGAATACAGCCAAAGCATGTCCTTACAACGATGTCCCGGGGCACACTTACACAGATCGGCTGGGGTGATAATGTTGGCGAAGACTACACGTTGAGAAGCCCAACTTGTGCTGATCTTACATTTTTCCTGCGCAGTTCTTATCCGTGGTTAAAGTGGTTTAGTTCAGATCATTCAGGGCTCAGTCTATGCTTACGTTGGCATTCGCTGCAACTGGTTTGATAGCAGGCTGGTTGGTTGGAGGCGAAATGATTAGGTCATGTTTTTATGATTTTATAGTTGTGTTGAGATAAAGCCAGGACAGTGGAGATGCTGGAACTTGGTAGACATGACAGCACCTGGGGGTCATCTCCATACTCTTAGGGTTTTTTTCGGTAAAGTCACGTAGGTAAAAATTAAAATTAATAAAAGCAATAATAAAAATAAATTATTATTTTATTTTATTATTATTTTTATTTATTTTAATTTGATAATTTTTTTACCTACGTGACTTTAGCGAGAAAACCTAAGAGTATGAATCCTTGCAGTCACGAAAGCTTCAAGTCTAGGTTATCTACATATATATCTCCATATATATAAAAGGCAAACTTGTGAATGTGTGTCTGTTCAAAATGTTTAACGTACTTCACGACATGCAACAAAATGGACATTTGCCATGTGGGTACTTTCCAGACTGTGCACCATGCAAAAATTTGAAAAATTCACTTTTTGGGCGGGGGGGAGCTCAATAATGCATTTATTTTTTGCACGGCAAGTGAGTTGTGACGTCAAATCTGTCACGTGACCTGCGCACGTGGAAGCGTAACGCATTGTAGCGTAGCGGTTAGCGTGCTGCGCTATGAATCCGGCGCCCCGAGTTCGATTCCCGCTCACGGCCACCACCAGTGACGATTATTTAAACCATCCCCGAGGTCGACTCAGCCTCAAACAATGAACTGGTGTGGTGTGAACATCACCACTGGGGAGACAAAGGTGGCCGGGCGTGGTGCTGGCCACCCACCCCCTCGTGTGTTGTGCTGGCCTTCATAGGTGCTCGCTGACAGCACTTGCCCCCTACAGTCTCTTCCCTTTCTTTCTTTCTTCTTTTATCTATAAAAGTCTCTGCGCGCGTGCTCTTGCAAAAGATTTGCCTCTTGAATGGTGGCCTAAACGTCCAAATAAAATTGCCTGCCAGCACGCCCTAAGCCCCGCGGTGGGAATAGGCTATTCCCTTTTCACGTCTGTCACCTTTAAATTTGTTTATTTAGCGTTTTTTTGGAGATATTTATTAAACTTGAAAGTTAGTTTGCCTATTTTTTATTTATTTCCCTTCGCCACGCACTGGGTCACAACGCAGCCAGCTGCACTTGCGCACAGCGCCCACGAGGTAACCCCCAGCAATCCACACGCGCCATTGCTCAAGGTAAGTCGCACAAATGTGTATTATAAGCTTTTATCTCATTACACTTTGCACTGCCCACATGGGTTTCCCCTAGCAACGCACACACGATCGCCACACATTTTCTTTCGCCTTACACATGCAGCTAAAACACACCAAACACATACATTCTTCACTGTGCCATGTCCTCTTCTCCCCACCACACCCCAATTATACCCCAATGCATCCTGAAACTACAATAGAGCCCCTACATATCATTATTATAGCGCTTACATCACATTATTGTCGCGTTGCCGGGGGGACCTGCCCAGCCCCCAGCCTGCTAAGGTCACACCTCGGCGGGCTGGGAAATCTAGGCGAGCCCGGGGGCTCTGCACGGGACTAGGCCTCACCACGGCACTGTCTGCTTACTACTTTGTGCTATACATTCCATATATACTGCTATACAGTCAGCATGTACTACTGTAGTGCTAGCAAGTACCACCACAGTCACTTTGCACTGCTGTCATCATAGCAGGTACCACCACTGTTGCTTGCCCCGCTCTAATCATAGCAGCTTACACCATAGTATGCATGCACTGCTGTAAGGAAAGCAGGTACCACCACAGTTTGCACTGCTGTAGTGATAGTGCATACCGTCGATGTGTGTGTTAGTCAATGTGTGTGTGTGTAGACAACTACTATTACTGGTAGGAACGAAGTGAACCAGCCTACAATAGATTATATCGTCCGTCCGTCCGATGTCCGATTAGGTGTAGCAACATCGCCCCCTACTGCAAACACTTGGCAGGACCCTACAAAAACCTTTAGACTCAGTGAGGCTTTCCTGGCTAAACAAGTGTAACATTTTTCATATTCTTAGGCTTTTTCAGTAAAGTCACGTAGGTAAAACATAAAAATTAATAAAAAATTAAATAAAACAAAAATCACGACGTTTCGGAGGCAACACAAGTCTCCGTCATCAGGTGGGACCGTGTAACATTCCCTTCTAATTCCACGAGATAGCTTTTAATTAAAACATTTAAATAAAAAATTAACTCACAGCGGCCTAAAGCCTACAGCTAGGCCTAAAGCCTAGAACTAGGCCTCAAACTCTCCCTTCGTATCGTACCCCCGCGTGTGTGAAAGGGAGTTAATGTTTAACAATGTTACATTCCCTGATGTTTTTAAATAGAAACATTTAAATTTAAAGCTTTTACATTAATAATTAAAACATTTAAATTAAAAATTAACTCACAGCGGCCTAAAGCATACAGCTAGGCCTAAAGCCTAGAACTAGGCCTCAAACTCTCCCTTCGTATCGTCCGATTAGGTGTAGCAACATCGCCCCCTACTGCAAACACTTGGCAGGACCCTACAAAAACTTTTAGACTCAGTGAGGCTTTCCTGGCTAAACAAGTGTAATAATACATTATGTTTATATTCTTTGGTTATTCGTTCCTACCAGCCCACCCCGCAGGGACCTGTTTTTTAATTCAGTTACTTCTTTTCACAATAATAATGCCTGCGTCTAAGTCTATCTGTGCGTGTGGGTCGATGTGCATGTCTGCGGCGATGTGTGTGTGTAAGTCGATGTGTCTGTATGTGTGTGAGTCGATGTGTTTGTGTGTGCGAGTCGATATGCCTGTGTGTTTGTGTCAGTCGATGT